TGATTATTCTAGTAGATATATATGAATTCGGAATTTTTTCTTCTATTTTTCTTCTTAAGGATTTTTTTTTATCTCTGGCAAATCGATTTATTTCTTATATGGAAAAAGATTTACTTAATATCTTTATTCTTAAAAATGAATTGGAGATTATTTCTTCCCATTTATTCTTATGACGAGAGATAATCGATAGAGTATTATTTTTGATATGAATTGGAATATAAGCTTATGAAAATTAAATGTCGGTAAGGATACACAAATTATTTTTGATGATATAAAATATGAAAATAAAAAAATCGATCCGTCTCTCGATGAATAATAATTCAATATTATTAGCATTGAAAAAAAAGAAAATATTAAAGATTTTCAAGAATAATAGAATAATATTGAAAATTTCGACAGGCGAGATGATGCGGTTCTCTTCTTTATTTAAGACCTCTTCATTCAAATATTAATCTCTAATTCCTATAGAATCATTTAAAATTTCGATTTCGATATATACTTATTTAAAGAAATATTCTAATATTTAAATATCTCTATAATTCTCTAAAACCTCAACCCTCTCTTTTTTTCAATTTTAGCTCAATACGAAAGAATAATAAGAAATATTTATTCTATATATTTCTTTTAATCTAAGAATTAATATTCGAAAATCTTTCTCAAAAAACGAATTTTCTCTTTATTCATTTCAAAACAATTTGATAAACATTATAGAATTGAATTATATAAATTATCGATATAAATCTCGATATTATTTATTCTTTTTAATTAGAACTAAAGCTTGAAGATATTATTATAGGATATAAAAGACGAGACCGACGACAATATTGAGACCAGCAAGAAATAATCGAATCTCGAAATATCATCAATTTTTCTTAATTTCTAGCAATTTAAATATTTGAATGCTCCGATATTCTTTAGTAAAGGGCTTGGGACCTCAGATTCAATTTCTTAAAGAATTATTGGACCTCTATATAAAATCTTCGAAATATCTTTGCTATTGCCTCCGGGAAGATCTTAAAGATATCTATAAATCTTATCATATAATTTTGGACGCTCGGATATATCTTCTTTATCATGAGGTTCCAAAAAAAAAAAAGGCGGCTCAATTTCTCGTTCCTATATAAAATTTAGGTTATCTAATAACGCCTGGTTGCCGAACCTTCAATTAATATATTTCAATAATAAATCGAAAGAAAATCGATATCTGCAAAAAAAAATCTCCTTAAATTTTTGTCGTATTAAAAAATCGAATTTCAGAAAATATATAATAAAAATTATAGCCAGAATTGTTTTCATAAATTATTTATAAGTATGATTCCTTTAGAATACTTTCCTAATAATTACAAAGATCCGAAAAAATAACAACAATTACAAGAATAGATCTCGAAAATTCTCTTAAATTCCAATCGTACGAATGATTTTCAATAAATCTCCCAATCAGTTAAACATCTAATTATAGAGAATATAGAACCGAAACAGAAACGTCCTAAATTAAGTATTTTAAAAGCTAAAAAATAATATTTTCTATTTTTTTCGTCGTCAATATCCATTGGCCGGTTCAAATTTTCACGATTCATAATATAATTTTTAGAATAAAATCTATTTCTAAATCTTTTAAGTTTTTTTGTGTCTTCTTTTATTTTGGAATCTCTGGGGAGCGGACAGACCCCCTAACAATCGTATTATATTTAGGTCGACATCTCTCGGTGCGGCCTGGAATTTTAGGGATGTCGACTACGGGACTTATGGGATTGGAAATTCTTTTGCGATGGATGGTGATTGCTACAACAGCGAATCACAAACCTGTACAGCACCTGGTTGGCGTGGTTCGTGGGTGCACTAAGGTCCAGCGGTTGAAAGACCAGGCGGGTTCAAACAAGAGCGTGTGGACTCCCAAATTCTGCCGTTTGAGAATCTTTGAAAGATTTGAAACGAGTGCAAGGAGCCTGGGTTCGGCTTTGGCTAATTGCTGTTCATTTAAAACAGAGAAAATACAACCTGCATGTACCGCAGGCTGTGGTAAGATGTGGCAAGTGTCCGGGCATTTTGCCCTACGATGCCGAGGTGAGCAACTCCCGTGCGCAACCTCTATAACATAGTATAACTTTATTAGAGAATCCCGACGAATAGACTCAGTATGCGTGAGTGAGTAATTATGCAGACCCTCAAGCGAAAAAACATCCCTAAACCCAAACCCTAAACCGAGACCCCTATGCTAGAGTCGCTGCTGACTCAGCTTTGAACCATTGCAGCGAGTGCAGACACCAACATGCCGGCCGCAACGGAAAGGCTTGTAGCACCTTAGGGACCAAAAGAACCCTAAAAGGGTTGATTGTGCAGATACCATGAAGGAACTATCGCACAAGGCTGTAGGGACAGTACTTAAAAGAGCTAAAGGTTCATATGCCACAAAGAAATTCATAGTATAGGGGTGTAGGGCCCCTACTTATAAGGGTCATTTGGTCTCCAAGGCACCTGCAACGCCGCCACCTCGGCGTTAGGGCTGAGTTTAGGGTTTCGGGTTTAGGGAACCCTAAACCCCTAAACCCTGAAGGCTTACAGGGGCTTCTAGGGCCAAGGGTGCAGGCTTTACAGGTTCAGCTAGGGTTGGCCCCCTAAAGCCTCTGAAAAATATACGTAAATAAGATCCTCGTAAGCCCCAAAAGGGAAATACAAAATGTCCTTACCTAGGATAGGGCTTCTAGGCTTGTAGGTTTTCTAGAGCTGCTCGGGTGTACCCAGAGAGCCCAATACCCCTTACTTAAGGAATATACCATAAATCATAAAGGGCTTCATATAATGATTAAAGCTATATTCTAAATTAAGGGGTATTGGGCTCTCAGGGTATTGGGTTTAGGGTCTATAGGCTTATAGGGCCTGTAGGTGTTCTGGATTCAGCGCGGAATCATAATGCCTACTGTAAAGAGCGTCATGGATCGACACTAGAATACCCGGAGAGCCCAATATCCCGAAGGAGCTTCAGCCCCTGAAGCTTGTTGCGCTAAGAACCAGGGGCAGTTTAGGGTGGCTTGTAGTTTCGGGCCCCCCCAAAATATTTATGAATAGGTACCTCTAATAGGAACCATAAGGGAAATTCAAAGGTTTTCCAAAGTGCCACCCAGGATTTTCGTGTAGGGTTCAACTTGCAGGCTTTGACAAGATCGATCCCTACAGGCAAAGCTTAGGGTTTACGGCCCTGGGGTTTAGGGTTGATAAGGGTTCTATAAGGTTTAGGGTTCAGGGTTTCAGTTTCCAGCCTTAACCAAAACCCTAAACCCTAAAGCCTTAACCAAGATCGACCTATTTTCGGTTGAGGGCCTTGGCCGTATTCTGTCTCGGTACGATGGCAAAACCGCCATGAGGCTTGAGGGTTTTAGGGGTTTAGGCCCTAAGGTTTAGGGCATAGACCCGCAACCTGCTCTAAGTTTGGGGGAACTTCTGCTAAAATGACACCCGTAAACCCTAAACCCTAAGTCATGAACCCAAGTCACAAAATCCTGAAAGCCGGATGGAGGCCCTCTTAACTTCTTCAGCACCCTGAAAACTCTGGGTGTAGGCTTTAGAGCTTGACGGGCATAGAATTTGAAGCCTCAGAGTTTGAGGGGGCCTACAGGGTCTAGGGGACAAGCACGGTTTAGGGGTTTAGGGCTTTTACGGTTTAGGCGCCCTAAACCCTAAACCCTCAACCTAGGGTTTAGGGCTTTTAGGGTTTAGGCGCCTTGAATCGTGCAGGATCCCTGATAGGCGAACCAGCCATCCGGCAATGCATCACTGGTGTTGCCGTCCACACACACCTGCAGGCTAAACCACAAGGGTTCAGGCTTCAGGGTTTAGGGTGGTTTTAGGTTTAGGGTGTAATGTTGAAGGAACAGGGACGGTTCGGGGTCGGGGCTTTTTTTTGGGTGTTGTGAATGGCAGCTTTGGGACTGGAGGAGCGTAGTCAGTTGTGTTTCTGGTCTGCTGTCTAAGCCTATTCTGCTCAGGTTTTTAGTTGTGGACGTTCGGAACGTGCCTGCTCGCAGGGGAGCTCCACCTCCACATGAGTACCCGAACAGTCAAGGCTGGAGTTGTACATTTTGTTCACGAGGTTGTTGTTGCTGTTTAGCTCCAGCTTCTGAGACATAGCTGTGACTTGACCATTGGACACCCTGCCCATTGCGCGGCATCCGAGCGGCAGCGAGTATTCCGCCTCCAAGTTCGCTTGGTTGCATCCTGCTGCAGTGTACATCTTCATGGTGACCACGGTCTGCTCCGTGCAGGACATGTACTTGTTGTACTCGTCGATGCATGTTGACAAATCGAAGGATTGTTCCTCCGTAGTGTTGCTAGCACATGCCGCATCAGTGTGCATGGCCAAGGAGGCCCCGGTGCTGTTGCAGCTCACTGCAGCGAACCCACTGCCCCCGCCATTCTGCACGCAGCCGGTGACCATGTACTCCGTGCGAACCACTTGCCCGGTGCAGCCAGAAGTCTCGTACGTGTTCTTCTGGAGAACCACTGCGGCATGTGTGCCTCGCACATCAGGGACTCAAACAAACAACGCTTTTGACTGAACACACGCACGCACGCACGCGCACGCACACGCACGCACGCACGCACGCACGCACGCGCACGCACGCACGCACGCGCACGCACGC